TCTGCTTGTTGGTGGTCATGGAGTTTGAAGATTGTTGAGTTTCTAGGTGAAAGTGATCAATGAGATGGTGTTTTTCTGAGTGCTTTAATTATTAACTTCACTCACTGCTTGTTGAGGCCTCTGGTTCTTCTCTCCTCTTGGGTGGCTCGACAGCTGATTGTTCCGCGACTGGAGTGGGGCTCATCGAGTATGGGCTTCCTCCATGGATCAGCGTGTGGTGATCCTGGTGACACTTGTGACATGTCTTCGTTGAGATGCACCTTATTTTCCTGTCTGGGCCAAGGCACCTGAAACACAGCTCCTTGTTGACCACATGGTTGTTTCTCTGCAATGGTGTGAGAGCTTTAAATTTATCACACCCTGCGATGAAATGTTTGTCCTGGCAAAATGCACAGAACGTCTTTGGGAGAGGTCTTTCTGGATTTGAGCTCGTCTTTTGTTGGGTGGCTGTAGTGAAGGAGCTCCTTTTCCTGGATGTTGTTGATGAGGTTCTGGTTGGCTTGGAGGTTTGGTTGGCATAGAGATTTGCTCCAGCGTTTATGCCTCTTCCCCATGCCTCGATGAATGTCACAAATTCCGTTAGGCTGGGGAAGTCCTTTGAGTCTCCCAGCTTCACCTCCCACTGCTTTCTCGTATCGCTGTCCAGTGATTTTCTCAGCAGGTGAATGCACAGCTGTTCGATGATGTCTTCTTTGTTGAGGCCCGGGATCTGCTGTAGCTGGTCTAACGTCTCCACAATTGTCGATGCGTTGGTTGTGATGTTCTCTTCTGTAGGCCTGGTAATTGTGGGGAGGTCCAGCATCTGGTTGAATAGAGCCTGAGCCACTAGGCGAGGATCTTCAAATTTCCTCTTGAGTTTGGCCCAGGCTTTCTCAAAGTTCTCTGGGAGCGGTTCAAAGGACGTCAGTAGATTTTCTACTGGTCCCTGAAGTAGTCCCTTCAGCCTTGTCAGTTTTTCCACTTCTGGGATTGGCTTGGATCCAACCATCTCCCAGAAAAGTGCACTCCACTCTCTCCATTTTTCCCTCTTCCCATCGAAGGGTTTTAGAATGATCCTGGAGAGAGTGCTTGTTGAGGTGCCTGTTGTTGAGTTGCTCGAGTCTTGGCTTTTGGGAATCTGACTTTTCAACCTACCGATTAATTTGATGCTCTCTCTCTTTATTTTTTCCGCCAGGGCGCATTTATCCTCTGTCAGGAATGGGTGATTTTCTGGAATGTACTCAATCACTCTCTCTTGGAGTTGATTGAGTTCGCTCCATTCCTGCTCGATAATCTTCTCATGAGTGTCGAGCACTTCTTGCTTTACTGAATCCAAGTTGAGTTCCATTTGCTTCAGTTCAACGTAGAGTTCCTCAAGAGCCTCTACTCTCCTGTTGAGTTGCTTCATTTTTTGATTGATAGCTCCCTGGAGTCCGATTCCCTTTGGTTGTGGGCTGTCTTTTAGTTGATCGTCTCGTGGGAGGAGGTAATCGTTGGAATTATCCCTGTTGAAATCTAAATTTAATATAGGAGGGTTTGTATTACCGTCATCTCCCTTTTCAGCCATGGTGATTCCCTGCTTTACCGACCGTTGAAGAGGGTTTTGGGTATGGGCCGGTTACCGACTGTTGAGTCTCTGCTGCTAGGTCGTTGGTGTAGCTGGGTCTTCCCTCTCCTTTCGGGTCTCGTCGTCTCACGCAGATTCCCGATGTTTCTCGACGGTGTTCGTCGTTGTTCGGCGATTTGAAGGTTGATGGTCACTCTTGTTTACACTAACTTATAAACACCTTTATTGTCTTGAGTTTCTGTCCCTTGGGTCACCCGTGTGAACCCCGAAATTTTCAGGGCACGCGGCGTCCCTTGATTTTCTCTAGCTTTTCACGCACTTTTTCACCCACGTATCCGGCTCGAAGGACCAATGTTTGATTTAAGAACTGTTTTGGGTGGATGCGGGTGGAGTGTATGAAAAGGGGTTGAGTTTGTTGAGGTCCAGAAAAAAATTGAAGCCACTGTTCACGTCACAATAAATTATATTTGAAACCGAGGGGTCGAACCACGGTGTAATTAACAATTAACTCTTTGGCCTTAGCAATACAATAT